CCTTAGGGTTGGTTGCCAGGATTTGCCGTAGGCGTTTCTTTTTCTAGGAGTGAACCTTAAGATACCCTGAAAATTTGAAGTCTCTAGCACATCTCTTTCAAGTGGAACAGACGGACAGACAGACAGACAGACAGACAGACAGACAGACACGAGGTCGTTTGCATTAGCCCGCTGGATAGCTTTTTCAAAGCAGAAGGGCGGGCTAAAAAGCATAAGTCACCAAAATTACTCATCACAACAAAATGAAGATATCCAATAACATTCAATAAGGAACTACTCATACCCTTCTTCCGCTATGCGACCACACACGCATGGCAGTCCCATTTTCAGAATATTTTACAAAATATCTAGAATTATGCTAAGAATCACGACATCAAAACGACGAACCTGTGGCGCTATTTTCGCTGGGGCGATACGCATGCGCAGCAGCCCCAGGAGCGGCGAAAAGGGCGAGATGCGGCAACGTCTGTGTAAAGTGAGGTGGGTATGGCAAACTCGCTGGAGGGCTGCACCCAGCCCCGTTTTGCAGATGAACGTGAATTAAAGGGTCGGGTGGGAGGGAGAGGGTGTCGGAAGTTGTTCAAATTTGGTGTACGGGTGTCCTAGGACCCCATTCGAACATTTTGGGCGCGATCCACCCCCTCCGAGAAACCACTTCCTACTCCCAGTTAACCCCACCCCCTAAAGGGGAATCAAGTGGCGGACATGACCTGGACAACGATTCTACTGTTCATCAAGAGATGGTAATTCCTGCTGACCCAACTGGTTCAACTGACCCGACCGACCCAACTGACTCAACTGACATCACTGACATATACCATACTCCAATGCCAGACCACGAGTAATCTCCTCCTTCAAGAAATCGACAGACCGAAATGTCTCAACACAATCTTAATACGTTTGTTGGTAATGGTACTGTAACCAGTAGTTCCTTTTGTTTCCTTTTGACAGGATGTATTGATAATTATATATTGATTGTTATGTCTTACTAGAGTTCTAGTGTCGCTAATTTTTCTAAGTTTATAATGTTTTGTTTAAATGTAAGTGACAACTGATAATTATTATTAACTTTTTTGTCAACCCACACTTGTTTTGTGAATTTCACCGCGTCCCGAACTGCACACTTCACTCGCTAGGCGACGACAGCGCGTGTGATCCCCTTAGTAGGACGCACCGATGCTCTTTCCATCCCGCGCGCCGGTCCATTCAAAAGAACCGCCCGGCGATGACGTCACGGGTGAGGGGTAAGGAGACGTGGCAACGTCGCCCCCCTCTACCAACATAGCGCCGCGCGCCGTTTACAGATATTTGGACGATATTTCGTACATAACAGCTCCACCAAATATCTACCAAATGTGCCCGAAATAACTTCAAAATATCCACCAAAGTTTGGTAGACGCTTGGTCGTTATTTGGGACGATATTTGGTGGTTATTCTCGGTGTTATTTCGTGGTTACATTGGCGATTGTTCGTCGATAGCGTATCGTCCAAATATCGACGGAATATCTCTACTCATTCGTACACGGGCGGTAGCACAGCTGGGCCCGCGTATGGGTTACGGCCGAATAAGAGCGTTTCTACTGCCTGCTACTTCTGCTTTTTATTGCAACTGTTAGTGTTATAATAACAGCTCCAGCTACATATGTCAACCGTCTTTATTTTACGTTTCTTAAGATAAAAAGTTAAAAGTACAGATACAGATGGAAAGCGGTAGATCGAAGGTTGGTATCATAAATCAGTAATCTGGCAATACCCAGGTGTGCAATGTGGTGTATTGCCTTTACAGACGGTTTAGTCTTATTTGCTGAATACCTTCATGTATGCATCAAACAGTGAGTGTGTACATAGCCATGTATGCAGCAAATAGTGTGTACATAAGTATGTATGCAGCAAATAGTCTATGCTAAAAGCTATGTGCCCAAGTGTGTTCCTGGCCATGTACACACTATATGTTGCATATATGATCATATACGCACTTTCTGCTGCATACAGGATCATGTTCACACTAGTTGCTAACTACATGTAGGTATAGGGGCCGAGGGGGTTAACACTCGCATAATCCTGTGTCCAGGCGAGAGTGTCATCTCTATGTAATCCTCGTGAATTCCTTGTAATGCTTGACAAAATTTTAGAACATTACCACTAAATTTAAACTTATTGTCCAAATTAATCAGTTTTAGAGCCAGAAATTAAACAAAATTCACGCGTAATCCCTGTAATAGCGTAAACCTGTGAACATCCTAAACCGAAGTGGTGGCCCCGTGTATACGGCAAATAACGCATACATGTACAGTACACACTTATATTGGATTTCCAGAGCAGTTAGGTAGGTGTGGTATACTAGATATCTACTTACCAATGGAAATACTTGCTATCAACTCCATCCTTGATGTGCACAGATTGATGACCACACTTGGATGTTACGGCTAACCCAAACCAAATTTCTATGGTAAGCAGTGTTAAGACCGTTAGAGCCCGCTTTGCGTCACTAGCAGGCACTGCCAATTGCCAATAAACCGGTTGGGCAATTGACAATCGTTTGAGCACGTTGGCAGGGATAGACCAGCCGCACGACTGCTACACACGGTTCGACACTACCGGTTAGCCTGAGTCTATTGTTGCAGTCCCGCCAGCGAAGGCGTCATAACAATGTCAAACAGAAAAATGCGTTAATTCTACCTAGATTCTAAGATTTCTGATGCGATTTTGAGGACAGATCAGAAATGATTAATAAAGCGAATCTGACTGACCGCCGAGACGGGCGAGCGGGCAACGCCTGACCGGAAGGAGGCACCCTTTTCTCCCCGCCTCTCACCTGCAGGCGGTCAGCAGCGACCAGCTAGGCGATCTGCGCGGTCGGTCAGTAACTGGGAAAACGCCCATCTCTCGGACGGATCCTATTGTGCGCCGTTTACCTGTATATCCTACACCTTAGAGGTTTTAGAGATTATTTTTGGCGGAAAAGTTAGTAAGGCCTGGACGGTGGGCCCACGTTAGAAAATTGAAGAGGAACTCGTCCCAAAGTTGTACGTTTAAAAAGTACAGGCACCTAAACAACAGCTCAAAATTTATGATTCCACAAAGATCAAAATTTGGTAATGACAAACGGTAAAATGGAAGCTACAGTTAGATAACGTCTTCCTTACTACGCGCCCGCGTAGCTTGCTGCTCTTATCTCACTTCCCTGACAACGGCCATTAGGGTCCGAATGTCTCTACACCTCGAGCTCGGGTAGCTGTTTGATGTGCGCCAGACGCGTCGCAGCGTCAGCGTGTCCTGAGCTATCGCGAAGCCTCGAGTTCCGCGATGCCTGCTCTCGCGTAAATTCGCGAAGTTTCTCTGAAACCCAACAATGGTTTTAGTTGTTTTAACCAACGATTTTACTTTTTACGTTCTGAATGATTCGTTTTCACTGTTAGTCCGGTGGTAGGATAAATCCGAGGAGTGGGTCGGATTTTCATGTGGGTTGGGATTTTTTCTACCTTTTCCTCTGATTCTCAAAAGCAGAGGAAAACGTCATACTTTTTCCGACGACAACCTCGGTTAATGTCCATGCCCAGAAGCCGAGGAAAACGTCATACTTTTTCCGACGACAACCTCGGTTAATGTCCATGCCCAGAAGCCGAGGAAAACGTCATACTTTTTCCGACGACAACCTCAGTTAATGTCCAAGCCCACAACGTCGGAAATTAACCGTGCGATATGCTCGGAAAAATGCCTACGGTGTGCTCGGCAAGTGTACGGGCCACAGCACTGAATTATCCCTCCCCATTGCATGTGAATATCGGGCGACAACGTCGGTTAATGTCCATGCCCACAACGTCGGAAATAAACCGTGCGATATTCTCGGAAAATTGTAGTTGTATGTTTAAGTGTTTAACAAAGGGCGCGTTAGACGGGGCTGTTAAACATGTACGTACGGGTGTAACTGATAAGCTGCACACATACAAGTGTATAACTAGCGATTTGAGCACTTGGATCTATGTAACAGGAAGTTGCACACTTGCAAGTGTTGAACAGTTGAACACTTTTGTTTATACTGCATCAAATCTATGGATGTCCTGTGACCTTTTAAAATCCTTAAAATTTTAAAAAGCCCCCCCCCCCTCAAATGTAAGGACTCTCGGAATCCTAAAACAAAACTCATGAAATCTTTGTGACATATTGGAATTGTCAAATTATGGACCCCTTTCGATTCACGGTGCGAGTTTTTAAAAGGTTTCCACAGCACGC